ACTTCCCTAAGGCGTCATCAATATCACCACGTGGTGGTGTAACACCTCGTTGTCGTCCCTTACATGACAATGGCATTAGTTCATCATGTGGATATGCATACTTCATGTACGAATTATACCCGTGCATGAACATTTCTTTTGCTTGCAACCTGTAAGAATATAATATAAAATGAAAAAGAAAAAAAAAGGAAAAATGTTTTTTGGTATATAAAAGATTCATCGCCCCATATCAAATAACAAGAAGTATGTATTAAAGGAAGAAGCAAATCTTAGTTAAGAAATTTTTCAATTTTCTAGAACTGCTCAAATATTTGCTATTGTTTGAACTACGTAGCATCATATTTCAATATTAGCTATTGATAACATCAAATAAAGCAGCAAAATGTCAAATAACCAAAAAATATAGCCACTGATTGAATAAGAAAGGAAAGATTAGAACGGCTTATACCATGAATTGTAGTACTACTTGTTAACACACTACCAATAAATTATTATGTGCTGATAATTTCAATGCACACTTTTATAGAGAGAGTAAAAGTATGAAAAACTTATCAAACAGACTACTATTACATCTTGGCACTCTAAGCAACAAGTTTAATATTAATATTTAATAATTCATTCGAAATTACCTGAGGGCAATTCTATCAATCTTTTCATTGTCGTATGCATTATTGCATGAGCTTAATCCGATATATATGTGCAGAAAGTATATACTATACATAAGTTGATTCATTGAACTCTGCCATCTCCATATACCGTCTAGCATATTTACGGTTTTAGGACGAAATTAAAAATACAATTAAATGAACACCAGAGAAGTGGAAATATAAATAAGTGTAAAGCCAACTTCACCACTTACTCTTATACATGTCGATTCCACAATCCTGAAATTACTTGCAAATGATTATTTATCAATAAAATATCACTTAAGAGCAGATTGCCACGAACATTATTTATTTCAACAGTGTTAAAACAAGCAATAAAGTTAGACATGAAAGAATAACATCCTAACAAAGTTAGTTCAAATAAAGTTAAAATAAAAGTGAAAAGGGATAACATAAGATGACCTGAAGAGAGAGATAATGATTTCCTAAGCATTTCATTATTTTAACATCACTTCAAATTTACCAGTATTCTTATTATGAGATTTATTATCCATTTCTAAACTTTTATTCTGTCTCTGCACCAGAAACAAACAGCAAGTTCAATGCAAAATAAGTATTAAAAGTACCTATTCAACATGGTACAATTACAAGCTACTAATTTATTGCTATGTTTCAATTTATTACAGCGCTCACGAGCCAAGCTGAGCTGTATCTTGGTCGTTTGACCTATATAAAGTAATTTCTTCTAACTTCTTATTTAAGTGGATGTATGATAGTTTGTAAGAACAAAAATTCATCAATAGAAACATAAGCATCATTAAAACTATAAAAAGTAAACATAATAATTACACATGCTGATTAAAGATCACCTGTCAAAAAAATAATACACCGATATGTACTGCTTTACGAATATATGTCTAAATTAAATATTTTAGGAATTATTCACATTCTGCCTAATACAGTTATTAATTTCTATTTGATTACTAATCACAAATATTAACATTGACACTAACATATATTTCCTTTCCAAACTTACACAGTCCAAAAGTTAGCTTCAAATTAGATCAAGAATATCCATCATAATCATCGATATATCGACTTGAAATGAAACAATTTCGTCATTGCTCACGAATAACACTAAAATAACCACACCATTTACATCCTTTCAAACACTGAAAATCATAAAATCTGTAATCGTTTTAAAAAAGGTACTTTCAAATTTCTATTAAGACAAACACGGCAAAACAATGCTAACAAATGGTATCTAAGAATAGTGTACGACAATAGAAATCAATACGATTGATATCCACAAAAAAAGCAGAGAAATTGATGATACAGAAAATAGAAAATGATGGCTTACTTTTTCTTCCAAAACTTGTTTTCTTTTTCTTCTTCAGCAAAATATTATCAACAAAAAGAGAAAGAGAAAAAAAAACAGTTCAAACCTTCCTTTCATTCAGCAATTTCGGATATCTTTATAAAAACCGTTTTAGCATTCTTTTTCAAGCTATCTTCTTTTGAAAATATTTTAGTCGATGAATAAGTTATCTTAAACTTTCCACTTTAGTTTTTATAGCTTTAATCGAAAATATCCTGAAAGATAACAGATGTTATTTTTTCTTCCACTTCTTTCATACTTTACTTCACTGAATCAAATTCTAGAACTGAAATTACTTTTTCCAAAAACACATTTCTAAAGCACAAGAATTGTGGATAATTTCACGAATAACTTCTAAATGTCTAACTTCTGTTTAATAAATGACTTCTTCATTTATATAACTTACATTCTCGGAACTGTATCGCTTCCTATGTTTCACAGAAGACACATATTTCACCACTGTGAATCATTCATTTTAAAACAATTTTTACAACAATAGTTGAAATTAGAATGTTTTAGAATTTCAAATTTCACTCAAAATGTCTTAGAATGTTTTAAAATTTCAAATTTCACTCAAACATCTCTCCCTGACAACAAACAATAATAAAATATAAACTTCATCATCAAAAAATCAAAACTAATTTCGTGTCGCAAATTGTACCACTAACCAGAAGAAAAGAGCAAAGAACGAAGAAGTGAACCCATTTGATGTATTCAATACTTCAATAGTAATTGTCGTTTTAATCTCTTTCTTCTTTTGATTTACTTAACAATGTTTGAAATTATTATCAAATATTCTCATTTAGGATATTTTAAAAATTAGAAAAAAAATTTTTTTTGGTAGATGAAAAAGAGCCTGAAAATATGATAATTTAAATTCACTTAAATAAATCAATATTTTATAAATATATTTTTAAATGACAAATAGTAATGCTAGAAAACATTGTGCACATAGTTAGCATATATTTTTGTTCTAAATATTGCATTTATTATTGCTATAGATAAAAGTAAATTATTACTAGAATTTAAGAAAAAAAACAAGAGATAAAAATAAACTTTTCAATGAGTGAAATAAAACAGAAACTTTGCGAAAAAAAAGAAAGAAAAAAGAGAAATAGAAACTTTGGCGTTTTTTTTCTAATTCCAAAAATTCCAAATTTCGAAATTGGAATGTTCATTAGATCATTAAATAATGCTAATTAAATATTATGCTAACTTTGGAAGCATACTGAATTATACCTTGTTTATTAATTGCATCAAATTAGTCATTATTTTTTAACAGTCCTTCAATACTATCATTATTTTCCTTTTCTTTTTCTGCTCAATTAACAAATTTTCAAATGCTAGAATAAATATGATTAATTAAAATAATGAAAACTTTGAGACTATTAGTGGTAGTTAGGATGTATGTAACTGATAAGTCAGTCAGCTTTCAACATTTACTTGTTTATGATGACAATTTTTAGATGAAGAATTTTATATAATTAACAAATCAAACAGTTTATGACTGACAATATAATTTCGTTTTACTCAATTCGAACAATTGATAACAATTTTGATTCTTTTAACATTTAAACTAGAAAAATATATGACTGAAAACTTTTTACAGGATTCATATATATTGGAACCATCAGTTGCATATTACAAGTGTTTATAATGTCTTCACTTTTGTCGTGAAAGACGAAATATTTAAATTATGACGAAATATTTAAATTAGAATGAAAGGAAGGCTTGAACTGTTTCTTTTTCTTCCTCTTTCTCCTTTTGTTGATAATATTTTGCTGAAGAAGAAAAAGAAAACAAGTTTTGGAAGAAAAAGTAAGCCATCATTTTCTATTTTCTGTATCATCAATTTCTCTGCTTTTTTTGTGGATATCAATCGTATTGATTTCTATTGTCGTACACTACTCTTAGATACCATTTGTTAGCATTGTTTTGCCGTGTTTGTCTTAATAGAAATTTGAAAGTACCTTTTTTAAAACGATTACAGATTTTATGATTTTCAGTGTTTGAAAGGATGTAAATGGTGTGGTTATTTTAGTGTTATTCGTGAGCAATGACGAAATTGTTTCATTTCAAGTCGATATATCGATGATTATGATGGATATTCTTGATCTAATTTGAAGCTAACTTTTGGACTGTGTAAGTTTGGAAAGGAAATATATGTTAGTGTCAATGTTAATATTTGTGATTAGTAATCAAATAGAAATTAATAACTGTATTAGGCAGAATGTGAATAATTCCTAAAATATTTAATTTAGACATATATTCGTAAAGCAGTACATATCGGTGTATTATTTTTTGACAGGTGATCTTTAATCAGCATGTGTAATTATTATGTTTACTTTTTATAGTTTTAATGATGCTTATGTTTCTATTGATGAATTTTTGTTCTTACAAACTATCATACATCCACTTAAATAAGAAGTTAGAAGAAATTACTTTATATAGGTCAAACGACCAAGATACAGCTCAGCTTGGCTCGTGAGCGCTGTAATAAATTGAAACATAGCAATAAATTAGTAGCTTGTAATTGTACCATGTTGAATAGGTACTTTTAATACTTATTTTGCATTGAACTTGCTGTTTGTTTCTGGTGCAGAGACAGAATAAAAGTTTAGAAATGGATAATAAATCTCATAATAAGAATACTGGTAAATTTGAAGTGATGTTAAAATAATGAAATGCTTAGGAAATCATTATCTCTCTCTTCAGGTCATCTTATGTTATCCCTTTTCACTTTTATTTTAACTTTATTTGAACTAACTTTGTTAGGATGTTATTCTTTCATGTCTAACTTTATTGCTTGTTTTAACACTGTTGAAATAAATAATGTTCGTGGCAATCTGCTCTTAAGTGATATTTTATTGATAAATAATCATTTGCAAGTAATTTCAGGATTGTGGAATCGACATGTATAAGAGTAAGTGGTGAAGTTGGCTTTACACTTATTTATATTTCCACTTCTCTGGTGTTCATTTAATTGTATTTTTTAATTTCGTCCTAAAACCGTAAATATGCTAGACGGTATATGGAGATGGCAGAGTTCAATGAATCAACTTATGTATAGTATATACTTTCTGCACATATATATCGGATTAAGCTCATGCAATAATGCATACGACAATGAAAAGATTGATAGAATTGCCCTCAGGTAATTTCGAATGAATTATTAAATATTAATATTAAACTTGTTGCTTAGAGTGCCAAGATGTAATAGTAGTCTGTTTGATAAGTTTTTCATACTTTTACTCTCTCTATAAAAGTGTGCATTGAAATTATCAGCACATAATAATTTATTGGTAGTGTGTTAACAAGTAGTACTACAATTCATGGTATAAGCCGTTCTAATCTTTCCTTTCTTATTCAATCAGTGGCTATATTTTTTGGTTATTTGACATTTTGCTGCTTTATTTGATGTTATCAATAGCTAATATTGAAATATGATGCTACGTAGTTCAAACAATAGCAAATATTTGAGCAGTTCTAGAAAATTGAAAAATTTCTTAACTAAGATTTGCTTCTTCCTTTAATACATACTTCTTGTTATTTGATATGGGGCGATGAATCTTTTATATACCAAAAAACATTTTTCCTTTTTTTTTCTTTTTCATTTTATATTATATTCTTACAGGTTGCAAGCAAAAGAAATGTTCATGCACGGGTATAATTCGTACATGAAGTATGCATATCCACATGATGAACTAATGCCATTGTCATGTAAGGGACGACAACGAGGTGTTACACCACCACGTGGTGATATTGATGACGCCTTAGGGAAGTAAGTTTTTCTCTACTAACTGTTCAATTAATTTTTAATTGCTGATGTTAGTTAATATTTACAAAAAATATTTGGAAAACTTACTGTTCAATTAACTTTTAATTGCTGATGTTAGTTAATATTTACAAAAAATATTTGGAAAACTTGTTTTAAGCTTTCGTGTTTTAAACTATCTTAGCCATCTCTTTTTGTAATTCTTTATCTAATTCTCATTTCTATTTAATAAGTATGTTAATGTTCTTAGCTTTTTCAACATTGTTCTTTTTTTTGTATTTGTTATAAGAAGAGAAATATATGTTGAAAAACAAAATGAAAAATATGCATTGTTTTTTTTCCCCATTATCAAGAAATACAGTGTTTTCATTGCTTATAAAATTTTACACCGAATTAGAAGTTGAAATGAAAGAAAAAGAGAGATTTTGCAACAAAAATTGATAAATTTCGTATTTGATTTGAAATTGTCACCAAAAAAATATGAAATAACTTTTTATTCAAAAATTGAGAATTAGGAGAGATTCTTCCTTTTTGTCATAAAGAGAAGAATGCATATTGTGCCTTTGCATAATTCAGAATTTACCTCTTTCTATCTCTTTTATTTCTTCTCGACTAAATAAATTTCAATTGCCTTGAAGTTTATTAAATACTGCACTCACTTCTAACATATTTAGGGATTGAGTTGATAAGAAAGTGGGGATTGAGTTCATAAGTGGGGATTGTTTACTTCCATTGATCTGTTTTTGATCGTGTAAATCTCTACAGGTTTTGATGATGGTGCGGTGATAGTTGTTTGGTCCTCCTTTAATCGAGATTGTCGTTTTGTATTGCTCCTAGTTCGCATCGCAGTAGGTTCCTGGAGCTCCTCAGTGTTCTGTTCGGTTTCCGGAATTTTGATATTTTCTTTCTTATTAGGTTTAAGATGAATTTCTTCATCATTAACTTCGAGAGGATACAAGACATTTATTGGACGATCGAGAAGTTTCCCAGTGGGAGTTTCCACCTGAACGTTCCTAACTTTACCGTCTTTATCGATTTTGATGTCCTTGATCCGTAATAATTTCCACATTCCTCTTGGAATTCCCGATTCATTTAAGAGTACAATCTCTCCCTTTCTTGGAGTTCTTTTTTGTGCTCCTTTGGATGAGGTAATTTCCCTTTGCGTGCGTTCTCTGAGGCTAGTTAAATATTCGGTTCTCCAGATTTCCCAAAAAACATTGAGAGTTTTAAGGGTACTTTCCCAGTGTCTCACGAGATGTAATACACAACATAAGAGGCATACACAAGAAGCATTGACGGACTGAAACAGTCCAGTAATCTAGCATGGACCGAACGTCTTTTGCCCATCAGAACTCCGATGAACTGACACCAGGTGAACAGGTTAGGATTGATAGATGCTGAGTAAGGGGATCTCGGTATCAGATTCATCTCTCTCATATATTGGAAATATGAATGGTCAACGTTCTTTTCTTCATGTGGTCCTCCTCCAATTAGTCGTCGGACATCATCTGCAATGTCTTTGCTAAATACATATTGAAGTAATACAGCTGGTTCTATAGAGAGACATTGGGCTGCTTGATTAAGAGAAGTGATGACCACACAATCTTTGAGGAATGTACCCAGTGTGCATGCTCGATATTTTTCAAATTTATGATTGGGGAATTTTCTAAAGAACATGTCCACAGCAGAGACTAGGATGCAGTAGTCCTGGTCTTGTATCCAGTGTGGAACATTCATTACTCCAGCAGTTGAGTCCAAATTGAATGGTTCCATTTTGAATACTTCCCCAATTCTTCGAACTAACTCTGCTTTGTAACCCATTTGAGCTGCAGGGGCTTGGGCTATTCGGTATACCATTAGTGCCTTTGCTGCGATTGCATAATCTGTCACAGCCGTTCCAGATTCAGGTTTAACTCCGGAGAATTCCAATTCTGTTTTTTTGATATTTAGTAAAGAGAGTGGACTTATTGTATCCCCTTTGTGACCGATGATGACTGAATACGATTTCCAATCATCTTGAAGCACACCAGTTATGGATTCCATTACTTTAGCAATGTAAGACATCGCAATTCCCGAAGCAGTAGATGGTGGGATGTTACTATGGATGATTGATTTAGCCAGCTGAAACCCTTCTTCAGTGTCGCAGAATTTTGGAACATTGATGTATGGTTTGTGATCAAGTTCATTTAGATAATCTACGGGGACATCAATTCCAATTCGACTTAGCTCTCCTAATTGTCCCGTGTAAGAGTCGTAAATAAAAATTTTTCTTTCATTTCTTCAGTTATTGTGTAGTGATTCTCTTTTAATTTGAGTAGAACTTGATCAGGCGGTATTAGGCCAACGGGTTCTCCTTGAAGAGATAATCTTGCTTCTCGGGATCGTTGGAGGGTTTCCATTTTTTGAACAGAATCTGCAAAGATCAAATTGACATCTGGTGCTCCTGAGAAGCTGTCGAAGTTTTGTTACGGACCACTGGCCATCTTCTTCTTTTTGTTGATAAACCTGGTTTAATATCCAGTTTGGCAATTTGGATTCTATTACCGTTTCGATGGTAGGTTGCTCTACGTTTTCGCCAATTGCTTCTAACTGCCTGCTTGTAACTGCCTCCAACGATCCCGAGAAGCAAGATTATCTCTTCAAGGAGAACCCGTTGGCCTAATACCGCCTGATCAAGTTCTACTCAAATTAAAAGAGAATCACTACACAATAACTGAAGAAATGAAAGAAAAATTTTTATTTACGACTCTTACACGGGACAATTAGGAGAGCTAAGTCGAATTGGAATTGATGTCCCCGTAGATTATCTAAATGAACTTGATCACAAACCATACATCAATGTTCCAAAATTCTGCGACACTGAAGAAGGGTTTCAGCTGGCTAAATCAATCATCCATAGTAACATCCCACCATCTACTGCTTCGGGAATTGCGATGTCTTACATTGCTAAAGTAATGGAATCCATAACTGGTGTGCTTCAAGATGATTGGAAATCGTATTCAGTCATCATCGGTCACAAAGGGGATACAATAAGTCCACTCTCTTTACTAAATATCAAAAAAACAGAATTGGAATTCTCCGGAGTTAAACCTGAATCTGGAACGGCTGTGACAGATTATGCAATCGCAGCAAAGGCACTAATGGTATACCGAATAGCCCAAGCCCCTGCAGCTCAAATGGGTTACAAAGCAGAGTTAGTTCGAAGAATTGGGGAAGTATTCAAAATGGAACCATTCAATTTGGACTCAACTGCTGGAGTAATGAATGTTCCACACTGGATACAAGACCAGGACTACTGCATCCTAGTCTCTGCTGTGGACATGTTCTTTAGAAAATTCCCCAATCATAAATTTGAAAAATATCGAGCATGCACACTGGGTACATTCCTCAAAGATTGTGTGGTCATCACTTCTCTTAATCAAGCAGCCCAATGTCTCTCTATAGAACCAGCTGTATTACTTCAATATGTATTTAGCAAAGACATTGCAGATGATGTCCGACGACTAATTGGAGGAGGACCACATGAAGAAAAGAACGTTGACCATTCATATTTCCAATATATGAGAGAGATGAATCTGATACCGAGATCCCCCTACTCAGCATCTATCAATCCTAACCTGTTCACCTGGTGTCAGTTCATCGGAGTTCTGATGGGCAAAAGACGTTCGGTCCATGCTAGATTACTGGACTGTTTCAGTCCGTCAATGCTTCTTGTGTATGCCTCTTATGTTGTGTATTACATCTCGTGAGACACTGGGATGATCACCATTTCTGATGATGATCACCGCACCATCATCAGAAACCTGTAGAGATTTACACGATCAAAAACAGATCGATGGAAGTAAACAATCCCCACTTTCTTATGAACCCCACGTATTACCCACCTTTTCTGGTCGGGAGTGTCGTGAAAGACGAAATATTTAAATTATTATATCCAAAACTAACAAATTCCTCTTATCTAATTCCTTTTCCTCGCACAACAAAAACCCTTTGTTAGCAAACCCTTCGTTAGCAAAACCCTTTATTAGCAGTCTTTGTTTCATATCATTTAAATGTCCTCCTTTGCCGAATATCTGGTCAGTTCAGTTCTGTATATAAACTAATCTTGTTAACAATCTTCTTTGTTCATCCATGAGAAATCCTCCCATCTAATCTCCATTCGTTAAATCAGTCTTATATATAAACCAACCAATCCTTCTATAACCATCATTTGCTTTATGTTTTGGGTGGTATTGGGATGCGTCTAATACTTTATAATTTTGTGTTATTTCACCATTTTTATATTATTGCATTTTTTATAGTTTACGCGTTTGTTAAACGGTGTAGCATCCGTACAATATGAATAAAGCGCTATTATAGCTTCATGTTAAATAAAGGTTTAATTACCCAAGTTTGAGGTTTCACGACAACTTTTATCACAAATATTTTAGTTGTAATGTTTTAAATATATTATTTATAATTTATATAATGTGTATCTTTATCATAATTTTTTCATTTCTTCAAAATACTTTTCCATTATTTTTAAATTGTAGGGATTTACATTATAAAAATACATAAATCGAACACAAACAACTAGATTGTTGATGATGACAATTTGGATTCTTTTAACATTTCAATCATAGTCAAAAATCTCTTCAAACATTCTTTTTTTCCGAAAAACTCAAATAGTTCCATAACTGGTGGCCCACTTTGGCAATCGATTAGCGCTAAACGTATGATTCGAAATATTTGGACATACTTGATACCATGTGTGGAAGCTAACGATTTTATGTAATCTATATTCCATTCCTCGCAATCCATAAGACCACTCAGAATAGATGATGCTATTTGCGCATCAAACTCAGAAAGCATTTTTTCTGGACTAGTTGATCGTAAGAAGTAATACTTGAAATCACTATTGGTTAACTGTTCTAGGTAACACAGCTTTTGATCCGTTCGTCTAAAAAAATCAAGCACCTTCCTGACATAACCAGGATCGGAAATCAATTCTGCGGCAGCTTCTGGAAATATCCTCTGAAGACGCTTCATAATCTCTGGCACTAACTGTTTGTCAATGTCAGCATTCTGTATCGCTTTATTACCATATGCATCAAGAATCAACTGATCCATCTAAAGATATTGAAATTAGAATTATTATAGGTTTTCTAAAAGCATCGCCCATAATCAATACCAACAGTTGGCAGTGTTAAAATTATTGTGCAAGGCTTACATTTCAAAAAGTAAATTAATTAAAATCATCAAACTCGAACCTATGTGCCTTGGCGATATTATTTATTAAAATTTATGCAACACTTGAATACGAATTATATATTCCTGAACATACCATTATATTTCGCTTGCCAATTAAATTAACATTAAATTTTTCTATCATTTCATCTAGTGTATAGAGCTTTGATACATCGAAATCTTCAATACCACTTCCATTTCGACATAAATAATTCAGCACCGCAATTGGCAAATATCCTTTGTCCACATCGTAAAATTCTACGAAAGCATCCTATAAGCATGTCTGATAAAAGTATTTATATTTGAAAGACCATGAAATTTTTATTTTTTGAAAAATCCTTTTATATTTTTATTTTATATCATAACAGCAAAAAATAAAGCTAAAAATAGACCTTGTCACGTTTTGAAAGTTTCTTGTTTCTACTTCTCACGAGCAATGGAAGATGAATCCATACAGGAGAAGACCATCCAAAAGCCCTGCAGTTGAAAAATTAGAAGCATATTAAGTCAAATTATTTCAGCATAAGAAGTTTCAGTATAAATTTGTTTATAAATTCATTTATTCATCTATTTGAAATATGTAATACTTCCTGCAACCATACATTAAGTCGAAAACAATTTCATTACTTTGCAATCACTCATTTTACAAATCAGATTCAATTGATCCATCAATTTTGCCAAACAGCAAACTCTTTTTCATAATTAATCACTTACTGGTAAAGTTGTATATGCTTTGAAACAGACGTAAGCCATTCAGAACCACGTATTACGTGACTAATCTGCATGTGATGATCATCAACAACATTTGCCAAATGGTAGGTTGGAAATGAATCAGTCTTCATCAGTATAAAATCTCCTTCATCGATTCTTAGCGTAATTTCACCGAAAATCTGATCCTTAAAATCACTTTTTAGAGAAAAAAGAAAATTGGAAACAGAGAGATATGCAAGAAAAAGTTAACAGCTATTACCTTAAAATATATTTCTTTGTTTTCTAACTTGAATCTGATAGCATAATTTTCACCATTTTCCAACTTTTTCCTAACTTCCTGATCGGTCAATCCACGACAGTGGTTATCATACTTTGGCACTTCATGACGTCTAGCCGCTTCTCGACGTAACATATCCAAACGCTTCAATTCATACTAATGTAAACATAAAATTTGGAAACTAATAAACTTGAAATTTTTAAAAAAGACTGATGAAAAGTTGTAGAAAAAAGAAAACTTGAAAACTGAAACTTTAGGATCAAATTAAAATCGTTTGCTAACGAAAAAATAAACAATTATCGGAAAATATAACAAAACATAAATATCAAATCTCTTTTCGGTAAAGACTGACGAAAAAGAAAATAATTAAAAAAGATTAAAAAACAAAGCTACTACCACTTGCATTTAACGTTTGATGCAAAGCATCCAAGCATATCAGCTTTTGACAACTGAAACAATTTCAGTTTTTAATTTATCGAATAAAATAAAATATTTAATAAAAATATATAAAATATTTGAACTTACTGTTTTCGTACAAAAACATCGATATGCATTGCCACTATCAATAAGTTGCTCAATAGCATCTCGGTAAATTGCCTTCCTTTCAGATTGTATATATGGTCCAAATTTACCATTGTTTGAAGGGCCTTCATCTCGAAATAGCTCGTAACGGTCTAATGTTGCTTCTATCTGAATAAAAACAATTTATTAAAATTTCATCTGTTTAAATTTTTGATCTTAAAAATACTAGAAGATTGCATTCAGCAAAAAGTATGAGAAATAACATAACTTATACACATTAAGTTATATGAAAAAAAAAAAAAAAAAAAAAAAAAAAAAAACTAAATGAAATAATCTTTGGAAAATTGTTTTTTTCTAACAAAAAAAAAAAAAAAGACTGTCACAAGGAAACTGTTTTTTTTCCTTTTTTTTTAAAGGAAAGAATCAAGAAAAATTGAAAACACAGAAAGAAAATTAAAATACAATCTCAAAATTCAATAATTTTCCAGTGTAACTGAACCTAATTTTTAGTTTTCCTCTTTCAGTTATTAAAACAAATTTTGAAAATAAGTAATAAAAAAAGTTTTTTGATAATCAATACATAGTAATAAATAAACATACCTGTTGCACAGCACCAGGTATTAAACGTTGCTGATCGGTATCTTCAATTCGCAAAAGAAATTTACCACCATGTGATCGAGCAAACAAAAAGTTATAAAGTGCCGTTCTAAGACCACCCAAATGCAAATTACCGGTTGGTGAAGGAGCAAAACGTACACGAACTTCATCATAAATTTGTTTGTTGCAAAAATTTTTTGTCGAATTAATCAACTGAAGATTACACCGCAAACTTCTCAACATTGCTAATATCTTCTTCCTTTGGTGCTCATATTTTCATTTTCATTTTACTTATCTGAAATGCAACGGAAGAAATAAGGTATTTCATCTAGGTTTATCAAGATCAAAGCATTTCTTAAGTATTACTATTAAATTTTAGCCTTTAAAAAAAAATGGTACTATCGGAACTAAACGAGAGAAATTTGTATTATGCACGAAAATAATTAGTGATACAAGATGAGAATTAAAATCTTTACAACCTTATCCAATCATAAATAAAATTGCCAGCACGATTATATCCAATTACTACCATCAATACTTTTCAAATGTTAAAAATTGTTTGCATAATGCTTAATTGCTAAGTTAGACTATAATGAATTTTATTTGAATATAAATGATTTGAATTATATGTTATGATCCAAACTCAAAAGTTTTCTTACATTCATTTCACTATAAAATGGAGCAAATATTCAGCAATCAATTATCTTAATTAGTTAAAGTGTTAACAATCTATTCGGGAAAAATTAAAAATAATCTAATGATGTGACATATATGAACGAATAAAATAGTAGAATATATATTTTTTTTTCATCTGAAGAGAGATGATTATGCTATAAGTAATGGCATGCGGTACCTTTATAGAGAAACCAATTCCAATTCTACAAGAAATTAAATGTTAAGATGATAAAAGAAACATGAATGAATGAATGACACAAGATCAAATGTCAAAAAGAAAAAAAAAAACAAATGCAACAAGTTTCTAAAAATAATAAAACAGATGATAAAAAAATCGAAATAATAAAACAGTACTATCCTATTTAGTTCCATTTCTAAAAATACATTGGTTTTTACTTCAAATGTTTATTAAAGCTGAAATAGATTAAAAAAATTGAGAGAACTATTTCATATGATTAAATAATACATGTTTAACATCGATTACACACTGCCAATATTTCACATTTCACCAACAAATAACAAAATTTTAGATCTGGTAAAAATGAACTATAGAAATGGTAACAATCAACATCTCGGATTATATTTTATTTTTTTTTCAATCCGTTGCAAAAATCTATTAATGCGGTTGATTATGGTTATTAAACTTTCATTGCTGTTCGTTTATAACTTTGAATATTATCAGGATAGAAGAGATATCAAATTTTAAGTTAAACTAAAAATAAGTTCAAATAGGTAAGTGATACATATTCACACAAGAACGATTTTCTTCACTCGGTTTTACTTCATCAGCTCAAATCCGAATCGGATATATTCAGTCGTCTTCGACGTGCCTTTACCTCATCAGTGAGTGCACCAAGATTTTCATGACTTGAATCTAAGTAACAATCCCTCAAGCAACCGTTTATACTCACTTTTTCCGTTTTCTATAATAAAATACAAATGTATCAATAAGATAAATGAAAATCAAATAGTAAAAGAAGATAGATAAGTTCGATTGGCAATATAGCAAGTTTATTTCATGTTAATTTTGTCTATTTACTAAAACATAACGAAACATCTGCGTAACAGTAATTTGTGCTATAACATATTCACATTATGTTACTGCTCCACAAAGCTCAGTGAGAAATTTAGATTAAAATTTCATGGAAAAATCTGGTAAACTGAAAAAGATTGGATTTATCAGTGTATGATATAGTATCATCTGATTTATAAATTTCGGAATGATAAAAATCATATGACTAACCGTGAATGTGCGTACCCACCAAACTGACATCCAAACAGATGCAAATGTACCAACAGCCTAAAATTTCGTTTTATTTCAGTATGAAAAAAAAAAAAGTTAGAATATTCAGAGAAAATCGCTGGCATTGTTATAATCGTATTAGCATTCCTACACATATAACAATTCTAAGTGACTAATTGAAACAAACCATAAAACAGATCCATGAAACAATCAGTGTTAGTTTAACACGAGGAAGCTGTGGTCGTCCAAATTTGATGCAAATTGATGCTTCCAAAGTACAAATAGCCACATAAACCCAACTTTGCATACCCATACGTTTAATTCGAGGATCGGTGGCGAATAAATAAAATTGTCGTATGGTTGGGGCTGATATGAAGGCAATTAAAAGAATCCTTGAAAACACTAATGGATGTGATGTGTCCACCGCGAATATGTGCTTCAGAAAAAAAGTATTTAATTCCGTTATCTGAAAATTATATCTTCATTCGAAATAACTTTCAACAAAAAAGTAGTATAAACAATTTAGTAGATAAATTTTCAACATTAGATTTCGATATTCTGTCATAAAGTGAAACGTACCAGCCAAACTAAGACAAATCCATAAATTGCCAACGTTCTTCTCAGAGCGCAGTTATTATACCAGTCCACTTTCATCCAACTTTCGGGAGTAAATTGTAGCACAGCTCGTTTGAATTTACCACGTGCTGTTTTGATATCTCTGGAAATTTAAATTAATTTAAAATCAACTTAAAAATACAAACTGATTGCAAGATGAATACCATGTTAAAAATATTACGTTATTAAACACAAACATATTTCTCAGCGTGATAATATTACATTTCAAGCTACTGAAGTTAAGTGTAAAAAGTTACTTAATACTTTCCCAATGGAACTGTCGCATCTCAAAGAAATTTGACAACCATATGCCAAACCATATGCCTAGTCCGTTGCACAACAAAATGTCCAAAATAATCGCATCCCACCAACATTCTTGAAAGTTTGGTAATAAATGAGCGAATAAAACCTGAATCAAATAGGTCAAATCAAACAGTTCAAATACCAATGTCCTCAGTTAAAAGCATAAAAAAGAAAAAAAAATTTGAACAAACCAGATTATTAAAATTAAAGAGTAAAAAAATGATTCAACTGAAGTAAAAATGTGATAAGCAATTATTTTTTAAACAAAAAATAAAAAGTACCTCGGTTAATTCCCATGCGATACTAATATACCAACATATGATAGAATGGCGAATAAGTAAAGCTTTCATGGCCCAGCCAACAAAATGTCCAATGGCAAATATATCCATGTAGCCCCATAATCGCTCCAATGTGATATCGGAACAGTTGACAGCATAAGCCTTAATAAAAACTAACAGCTATAAAAAATTCAACCAAAATTTATTTAATGAAGAATAATACATTTGTCGTATAATAAAATATGCTAATCATATGTAAGTGTTAAGATAGTAGCAGTGAAATGTAATTAAACATCATTTTGACCAATTTTGAATTACAAAAAAATTCCAACACAATGCAGAATAAGGAAAAACTTACTTTTTCGTCCAATTTTTCCTTACTTAAGCCTTTTGGATCAAGCCATTTCAATACATCTTTGATATCACGAAAGTTTTGAAACAATGCAAATTGAAGCATCAATATATATAAGACACTCATACCAAAAATAATGCGCCAGAAAACTGGATGTGGACGGATAAATGGACCTAAAATTATTCAAAAAATTGAACTGTTGACAGTATGAACAAACAAAAAAGAGAAGAAAATAATTAAATTTACCATTTGGAAATGTGAGACCACTGACAACAAGAAATAAAACAACTGCAGCAGTAATACCGGCATAAACATTAATTGCTGAACTATCATCATTCCTGAAATATTCACTGTTCTTCATTTCTAAAAAATATAACCAGTCATTGGTCGCTGGGTAAATAAGTAAATGAATGACAAAGTATTTCAGCAAGCTGAATAAGAAATGACTCGAGGTAATGCAAACTAAACTAAAATGATATATTACCTACTAAATGCTGGAATAACAAGCAGCGCACAAATGATAACAAGAACCGTAACTGTACGTGGTTTATAAAAAAATTCCAAAGTAACGTCGTTTACAACACGTTCATTGATAAGCCGATAATGTATACAATCCAGCTCACGTCCTGTATATTTCCGACGCTTTTCATCACTTAAAATAACTGATTATATGCCATGGGATATATGGTACTGATAATAAAGTTCATTTCAAGAATGAGGAGTTTGTGTATGTTTTGTTAACTCAAATAACAGAGATAGATTAATTTGAGTAGCAATTAATACATTAAAAAGCATATTAGTCCGAAAAGTAGGGTACTAATAACCACAATTAATAAAAAAGGTTATGAATACACCTATTCCTCGTTGACTTGAATAACTGAAGTGATCAAAAAAGCAATTTATGATTTAATAGACTAAGATATAATAATATAAAATGTAAGATATAACCTGTAACTAATATATAATCAAAAATATAAAATTAACATAGATAATGAGGAGTAACATAATGCATGAAGGAGGGGATAAATAAAAGTTCAGAAAAAAAAAACTTTCATTCATTCCACTCCAGTCTTCTTTATATTTAAAGTAAGACAAAATAAAATAATGAAATAGAATAAGAATACAGTTCTCGAGTCCCGTTGCTAATCTCCACAAGTTAACTTGTATTATAAATAATCATTTTGAATAAAAATAAAGTGAACTTGTAACAAGCTGAAACAGAAGTGAAACAATATCTCAAAGAGATACTGATAGATGCATAAAATATAAAGACAGCAAGAATGGAAAGAATCAAATATTCACTGATAACAATTTACTAGTGTTAGTGATAGCTAAACAAAAAATCATTCAGTGATAACTAACATGTTCGATGTGTCACTTTCATCGCCCGCATCATCGACATCGAAGACTTGCGAAGAATGTTTTGATGAATTCAGCAACTGATCATCCAGGTAATCTTCCTCTTCATTATTTACACGTTGCAATGGACGAAACAACGTCCGTACAGCCTTATGACCATCACTTTTCAATCGTCTTCGCCGTATCATCCTTAACATATCAATTAAAACGGCAAACAAGATAGATCGATCAGTCAGTCTAATTATTACAATCATTAAAAAGTAGCAAGTTCCTTCACTTAATTTTGTATCATAAAGACAGAAATGACGGAAGATATAAAAAACTAAAAAAAAGAAGCAATATTTAGAAATGAAATCTAGATTTTGGAATGGAAAAAATGTCGAAAAAACACGTTAAAATGAAAAAATAAAATAAAGAAAAAGGAATGATGGATGGAATTATGCCATGAAAGAATTATGCAATTTTATAATAATTGCACGATTCATTTTAACATTCATCCGATAGTTCAAAATGAATAATGATGGAAGGAATGATCCAATCTCAAAATATTGTAATAAGTAAGAGGATAAATTGAGAAAAAAAAATTTTTTCAGACCTACCAAAAAAAAAAAAATTAATTGTTTTAGAGAAAAAGAAAAGTGAAAAAATTGAAATTATTTTTAAAATTTAATTTTTTCTAATAACATAAAGCTGCTTGCTTCCATACATTACAGCAACATAAAGATTTAAAACTGTGAAACTTAACCTTTAAAATTTCACAGTTTATTTCAATCGTGCCACCAAGTAGCAGAATGAAATTCTCCGCGATTTCTGTGTTGCTGAATTACCTGCGTGTGATGGGTTTACGTCAATTTCAACCGTAAACTTTAACTAACTTTACGTGATTATTCAACAGTTCAAAGTGCATCATCATTGTCATGAAATTTTTAAAATGACACATAAATGGAGAAAATTATGCTGATATTTTCAACAAATTCAAATGATTTAAATGCAACAAGTTTTTTTTTAGAAATTTTTTTTTAGAATTTTCTAGAAGTGATTGTTTGTTTATCATTCTAATTAAAAACAATAAAACTTTATAAAAATCAGCCGATCCTTGATAGAAACGATTGAATTGATCCTTACTTTTCCCGTGAGTTCATTCTATTCCTCTTAGTAATGTATAAATTTTTATGCTAACATTTCAGGTACTTTAAAAAAAAATTTCGTTTTTATTTACATTTAATTTGTTTGAGTAAGAGAACATTTCCAGCAGTGAGTAGATGAGATGTTACAAAGACCAAAATAAGTTATAATATAAATACATTTGAATAAATCATAGTATTTTTTTGTATAATAGAAATATTTCTTAAATTATCCCAAAAAATGGAACACAAAATGAATGCTACGATGCTTAATGTAATGAATCATGTATTTAATTCTTATCATTTCCGATTATCAAGTTTATCATCAATTGTTAAATACTGAAAATCATTTCACATGTAAATATTTTCTTTCCAATAGTTAATTTTATATTCAAGCTATAACCAACTTACATAACTTTCCTTATTTGTTTACATAGCTATCTTTGTATTGCAATATGCCTTCGTGAATATATCAGAAAATCAAACATAGATTCTTTCTCCTTCTTGCTTCTACGTGATTACTTACTTACGCAGTTTTCACGGAGAATCTTCGTTGGCGACGTATTCTTCAACGATGACTGAACCATTTCTCATCCAAAGTTGGAAACAATTTCCTCAATTGTCAATATTCGCCTATAATTGTCATATAATATTATCACAATCTACAAAGAAAAAAAAAAAAACCTTTACAGCAATTTTTGTCTGTAAAACAACAAATCAAAAAAAACTTTCACAGCGAGAAATATTTTAATTTTCAAATGTTCATTTTTTTAAAAAATAGTCTTAGTTTCATTTTTTATACGGATTATTTAAGCTGAAGCCAACAGTGCCAATTTTCATAAATCAGGAATTCTCTTTTAACTATAAAAATGTTTTTTTTTATTACGTCACGTAAGTATGAAACGTGTTCAGCTCTTTTTTCCCTGAATCAGTTATTTCCCTTTTTTTTTATCTTCGCCACACTATAAATGATAATACAATATGTAATGTAGCAAATACCAAAACTGTATGAAAGCATAAATAGAAAAAACACAGAAAAATAAATAAGAATGATGGCATATTGAATTTAAATGCTTTTTTTTCCTTGGAAAATTTTAAAATTCTCAGTAAATAGCCCAATAAAATGAAAGTTTTCTGGCCAAAAAAACAAAGGATAACACTTTAGTTAGGCTAATAAATTACTATATAATTCTAAATTGGAAACCAATATACGATGTGAAATACTTAATCGGAATTTAGAAATTATGTTAGCTTTCAGTAGTTCTGTTCAAATCGACTTCATTGAGATGGTAAATTGCATTCCTGCGACCGTGTGATACCGTGGTGCTGATTGCGGGTTTTCATTTTTTGGTTTTGTTTACTTAGTTAATTGGTGGTTTAGGTTCTTCAGTTACTTATAAAGTATGTTTATTTTGTTATTTAATTAATTAATTATCTGTAAAGTATGACTATTTTGTTAATTAATTAACAAAATGTTCATACTTTTTTTTATTAACATAAGACTGATAAGATAGTAACGGTAAATTGAGGAGAATATAGAAATAATATTAAAAAGTAAAAAGATGAAAGATAATAGAGGAAATGAGAGGATAGTAGATTAAACAAGTATTCATAGCAGTTTATAATTATTGTGTCAATTAATCAACATAAGATATTAATTGTTAATCTTTAGCATTTGCATGGTTGATTAAATTAATTGGTGAAAATTTAATCATTTACAATTTTCCATTGTATTTAAGAAAAAATGAATCCATTGACGAATATCCGGAACCAGAATAAAATTAATGATCGTGAACTATTACTTGGATTTACCGGAAGCAACAGTAAAAGCTGGCATCAGAAGTATTCGGATTCAGCATGGATTTATATCGGAGGCTTACCATATGATCTTAACGAAGGCGATGTTATTGCTGTTTTTTCACAGTAAGTTTAGCTATTTGAGCAAAAACATTCTTGAATTTCATGTTACCTTTTTGAATTTCATGTATTCAACTATTATTTTGTTTATTACAGCAATTGCTATCATCCGTATGCTAATACAGTTATCTTTTTACTTTCTCTGGTATTGGCATACGATTGTTAGTATAGTTTTAAACTTATTTTCGTGCCGCTAATTATCCAGAAGCAGAATAATTTTCTGTTATTCCAGTCAAAATCCTTTTTGGTTCTTTTACTATGTGGGAATTGGGCGGAACTAAAGTGATTTGAATTGACTTTATAGTGTGATGGATGTTTGACCATATCTCTTTAGCTAGAAGCGATTCATTTAACCAAATTTAAGAATTCTTTTTATACATTTATTGCTTTCTATAGTTAATTTGTCTTATCTTTTTTGGTTTATCTGATACAATGCATTTCTTTTATCTGATTTTTTATATTTGAGAAAATTACTGTTTATGAAAACGATCAGAGAATATGTATTTAATGAGGTTATTAACAACTCTTTGTAGCAAACATTAAAAATTGGCATCAAATTCTAAACATAGAATTGCTTGATAGGTGACTCTCATTACACGAATATTAATCTTTCATGCTTTGCGTAAGATCTCAAAAAAAAAGCAAAGAACCTAGCAGTTAGATAATTTATGACCAAATAGTGTCATATCGAAATGTATTATTTGAAGCTCTTTAAATCATTTTTTTTTTTCCATTTTTTATCATCAAGCTTATAGGTTATGTGGTATTGCAGAATTCGTTTAATTGCTTTTCTTTCCATCTGATTTTTCAGTTATATCATTATCTTATAGCTTAGGAGTCTTTTTTATTTTTTGTTAACTGTATTCTACTGGCTATAATATAAAAACTTTTCTGAGATATGGCGAAATTGTGAACATCAATTTGATTCGGGACCGCAAAACTGGAAAGTCTCGTGGTTTCGCATTTGTCTGTTACGAGGATCAGCGATCAACTATTTTAGCTGTTGATAATTTCAATGGAATTAAGGTTTGAAAAACTTCGGATTCTAGAAATTCAATTTTTTCTCTGTTCCAGAAACTATCATTATCATAAGTTTTGATAGATGTTTCTGTTAGGTGTTGAGAACTCATTATTTATAGTTGTTAAAGCGAATTATACGTGTAGACCATGTGGAAGAATATAAAGTTCCAAAATATCATGAGGATATCGATGAAGAAACACGAAAAATTTTGGAAGATGGTTGCGCTCCAAAACCAATTACTGTACATCAAGGTTTGTGCATTGTTTTATAGCTAAAAGTAATAATTTTTATTTCTATTTCTCGAGGGAATGTCTCCATAATGAGCTTTTGGCTGTTGATAATTTCAATCGAATTAAGGAAATTTACAACTTTATTTGTATAATGAAAATTAAAATGTGATGGTTGTTCGTTAAATCTTTCTTAATTAGCTTTACTATTAAGCTGATGAATCGGAAGATGTAGATCCAGTTGAAACGCTGAAGAAAAAAGGAGCAGTAGATAAGGTTGGTTTATTCTTTTTTTATTAAAATATTATTTACTAAAGGATGTTTAATAAAGGATGTTATTTCGGCATCAGCAATGATGCTGTTCTTATTTCATACAGGTATGCATTCTTTTCGGAACTTTTCTACGTGGATAAATAGGTAATTAGCGGTAGTCCTTGTGCAACAATTATTATAAATTGTAAAGAGCTATACATAACTTTTATTGTTTGTGGCATAGAGCTGACTTTTTTTTGTTTTCAGATTCGATTATTCACTTTATCGATTCAGAACTTTTGATTCAAGTTATATATTTTGTTTTTTTACTGTTTGCATATTTTGTAGGATGGTGTTGTGAAAGTGGATAAAGCTTTGGAAAAGAAATTGAAAAAAGAGCAGAAGCGACTAATGAAAGAAGCAAAGAAAGCAAGAAAAGAGGAAAAACTGCGCAAGCGTAAACTTAAAGAAGAACAACTGGAGTTGGAGAAGAAGGTTGAAGATGATGAATCTTGGAAGAAACAGAAAAAATTAATTGATTTAGGACCCGTTAAGGTAGTGCTTTCAGGAACAGTTTTCCAGTGTTTTCATTTCAGATTTTCTTATTGTTTATTTCTTATTTTTTCTTAAACTCAACCCTACTCCTT